ACATAGTATGATGTTTAGGCAGTTCAGTGTTTTATAATATGAAAATAATGCATATGTATGTATGTATGTATATATGTAGGTATGTATGTCTATGTCTTGTAAGACCGCCGAAAAGGAACTTTTTAAACACTAAAAAATTAAATGTTAAAATAATATAAAAAACTAAAAATGTATTTCACGAGTATTTTAAGATTTTGTTTGTCTGTGTTTTGTATAAACAGAAACGAATTCACGAATCAAGATGGACAATGTAATTAAACGCACGCAAATGATTATGCTTAAACTACGAATTTACACATCAATACGACATTTTTATAATCACATTTACTAATAGGTTTTCTTTGTTTCAAAAGTTAACATTTATATATATACATTTTGTATAATAGTTCAAGTATAGTCATCCTTGAGCTGAGACTAGTTCCTTACACAGTCAATTTCTTGTATGCTTAATATTCAGTATCAATTAAAAATTTAAAATCGTAGGTTCTGTTTTACATTGTAGCTGCCACTAAAGTCTCTTTATGTTATAAGTTTTTTTTACAAATATGTGCTCAGAATTGTGTGCGAAGTTGTGAAAATCCACATGCGAGTTGGTATCATGTGAATTTACTAAGGTTTCAAGTACATTTAATTTAAAGTACAAGTTAATTTAGTTTTTCTTGATTCGATTCTTTATTGCTTACCAAAAGTAAATAAGTTTTGCTTGTTTTGTGTTTGATCTGAAAGTTTTTGCAGACCATCAGCCATATCCAGCACATGTATGACATACTTAGAAGCAGTATTTTAACGATATCTGCTTGCAAACAATGTCAAAGGAATCTCATACAAATTGTTTTTTTTCTAAAAATCTATCCTTTTGTTTCCAAAGGCAAAACTTTAGGGATATTTTTTAAGTATAATTCAAAGATATTCGTGTAAATTTGTTGGTTAAGACAGCAAACAAAAAAAATGAAATAAAACCAGTTGAATTTGATTAGGCATCATTTGACCGTCTGTATAAACCAGCATTTTTTTAGTCGAAGCTTCTTTATGTCGCATCGAAAAAATTGATTTCGTGATTCTCGTTGTTTCACTGATACTTCCTGGCAGCGGTGCGTGCACGCCATGCCTGGAGGCACTTATTAGAGAAAATGAGCGTGAAACCATGAACTTGGAATCCAACCAAGCAGAAGGCATACCACAAGAGACCATAAGGGAATCCCTGAAAGTGTACAAGTAATTAGTTCATATTATTATAATGCATTTTAAATTATCATTATTATTTACCTGCCACATCATAATGTCTGTCTCATCAATATCGGCCTTATTTTCCAGTTTAATGTAATCCCATACATCGCTAAAGTAGTAGACCATACAGTAGAGCAATGGTAGTATGCCCAATACAACAATTGCTATCATATATTTTTGCATTTCGCGCACTTTATTGCCACGCGCCGCTGACAGGCCAATGAAGGACGCCAACAACGATGATAACCAAATATATTCCCACCATAGCGGTTTAGGCACTTCAAGCTCTTCGATTTCTAGCACAAAAATATCGAGGCGATCCAATACATCTGAAGTCAGTTTGGCCATCATGCAAAAGGCAAGTAATGTATGAAAGAAAATACAATATCGTAGGCGTGATTTATTCAGCATACTGCAATTAAGAAAATTAAGATGAACATAAAGTTTTTACGGCAAATTTGTTGTAAAATGCTGGAATAATTCAAGATTTATCTACTGATGCAAATAAGGTGGCTGAAAAAATGTGAAAACGATTTTCAAATAAATTGTTAATTTATTTTTGGAAGTTAGTACATTGTGGAAGTTACACTGCTTATCGCTGGTGTCCACGGTTCACAGTAGGCGATGACTTCGTTACAGACCGAATGATAGCCATATAAGTGACAAGATGGGATGGTCTTTTCTGAAGGTGCTGCCGGAAAATAATTTGTGTAACTTTTTCTTGTTGTGCTTTTTGTTTACCCGCCGCTTTACCGCGCCCCAAGAAGGAGAAGTACAGAGCCGCAACAAGGTCCTCAAGTCGCTAGCCGGCAGTACTTGGGGCAAAGACAAAGAAACGTTGCTGGCAACATACGAGGCAATAGGCCGGCCGGTTTTGGACTACGCAGCGCCAGTGTGGTCGCCTGGGACTAGTAGGACGCAGTGGACGAAGCTACAGACCGCACAAAACACCGCACTGAGGACAGCGACGGGATGCCTCCTGATGACGCCTGAACACCACCTGCACGGCGAGGCGCAAATGCTCCCGGTAAAGGAGCACAATATAATGCTCTGCAAGCAGTTCCTGATCGGGACCCACAGAAGTGGCCACCCGTGCAGACAGCTGCTTGCAGAGGAGCCCTCGCCTAGGCACGTCAGGAGGCATCTATATGAACTAACGGACGAAGTCCAGAGGTTCATTAAGCAACCTCTGGACCCGACAGCCTACAGACAGGCCTTGAACGGCATTCACAGGGACTCAGTCTCGAGTTATGTAGACTCTAGACCTGTGAATGCCGTTCTAGGCACACCACCCCCGGACATTGACGAGACGGAGCTTCATCTGCCTCGGGAGACGCGCACCACACTTGCACAACTTCGCTCCGGCTACTGCAGCAGGTTAAACTCCTACCTGAGTAGGCTGAATGAGGATGTGCCTAATGAATGTCCGGCATGCGGAGAGACCCCACATGACTCGAAACATCTCTTCGCATGCCCGGCAAACCCGACATCCCTAACGACCTTGTCCTTATGGGCAAACCCCGCAGAAGCTGCACGCTTCCTAGGGTTGCCGTTAGTGGAACTTGACGACAACGACTGAGATACCAACCGATCTGGGCGGGGTTGTTGTAGCCGCTACAACAACAACAACAACAAGGAGGTATTCAGGTATTTAGGGTGGTTCAAGGTTGAAATTCTCGCTTTATCTGCCTGTACCTCAAGTTCAAGGTGGAAAAGCGGATCACCATTTGTTCGACAGTCGGCCCAAGAAAATTTTCCTCTTAAAAGACATGTGGTGCGAAGAGCATTTCACCATAGAAAAATTTATAAAAACGTTCCCCCGGCCCACGTGCTGAATAATTTGTTTTTGCAGCAATTGTTATCAGCTGCATTCTTTTACAGGTGGCTATGCATTCATTGTTTACCAATACAAAAGCACAAGCACGCTTTAACAAAACACGCATACAACTTCGTTTGTCACGGCATTTGTGCTCATCATGTCGGTATGTCCACGTCACCGCATATGCAGGCCGAGTTGTGGAGACGCTATCGACAGTTTTCGACTATTGCTTGTCCATAAAAACGAAATGTAAACAAATTCTGGCAATTAGCCAATAATGAACACAGTAATCATAGACAACAAGAGCAGCGCCCTGTAAAAGAATTTGCCCGCGACCGTTTTCATCTTGCAAAAACACGACACTACTCCTTCCCCGCATGCCATACACTAGACTAAATTTGCCAACATTTGCTTCGCTTTGCAGGTTGGTGAATTATGCAAAGCACTACTCATTAGGCATAAGAGCAATATATTGAACTCCATTATTACTACGTAAGAAGGCAAACGTTCCGAATTGGGCATTGCTTGTATAAAAATGTAGTGAATAATTATTTTTAAATTTACAAATTGCAAAATATATTAACCTGATATAATGTGGAGCTGCTACACGCTGCCTGAATTCATAGTCATTGCCATCAGTGCCAACCACCATCGGTCCACCACGAGATGCCATTTCTACTGTGCTCTAGCACTATGACTCCCGGGGTCTCCACGATTTCCTTTGGAACTATTTAGCTTTGCTATCGCCTAGTTACGTTTGCTACACCTGTGTTGCAGCAAATTATGCTTTATTCATTTCACTTTGAGCTTTTCTTTGTAGCAATTATTTTCGTTCACTATTGTATAAATAATCGGTCGTATTTTAAGCAAGGTATACAATTAATGTATGCCTTGTTTAACGGGAAAAGAAAAAAATATCACCGTCGTCGGGAAAAGAAAAGAAAAATTTATTAACAAATGTTGCTGCGAAATGTTGAATGTTATGGGCAAAAATACATCACAGGGTGTGTACGAGAGATTTTAGTGTTGGTTAAAAGCAGAGGGTGACGCTTATTAGTAAATAAATATAAATTAATATTTTGATAGTACCTGTTTCCGTTCTAATGCAAGTCATTTTATTTTAACGGTCAGTAACTATTTTACTTGTTTTTCGGAAGTAGTTGACGGTTAAACGCGCGTCGTGTATTAAAAGTGTAGGGGAAAATATAACTTAAAAGTGGTTTTACATTATTAAAGTAATTCGGATTTTAATTGAAATTGTTGGTGCTAATAGTTTAAAAGTATGTAGTATTAGTTTAGAAGTAAGTGTTTTATTTGAATGATGAAAACGTACATACACACATACATACATGCATACATCCCTACAAGACAGCTGAGTATCATATGAGTACTCATATTATCATTATCCCTAATCACAAAAGTGCTTATCAAAGTCCTCATTTTCGTTCAGGCCATGGGAAAAAATTGAGTACTTTCCCCTCAATGTTGTCATCAGAAAGTCCTCAGTACTAATAGTCAAACTACTCATTTATGCCGTACTACAAAAACAAAAGTGTAAATGTGTGAGAATTTTTGCCTAAAGTGCTCAGCAATGTCTTGTAGGGTTACGTTCTGCATATCAAAGTACATGTATAAAGTAATTTTCGCTTCACAGATGTACGGAACAAGTTTCAAGTGTGTATGTAAATATGTTTGCTTTAAAAATATCAACACAAGCAAAAATAAGTTTTTGGTTCTAAATTTGTGTAATAACTAAAAATATTCATACATATGTTAAAATATGCATGCGTGTGTGTGTGCATACTACTGCACTTAAGCAATGTTCTCGTATGTGCATATATAAAAAAGTATGTATAAAAATAAGTGTGTACAACAATTCTACCCTTTGTTGACAATCCGCTGTGGTCTGTCTATTCGACAGTTTCTTATTCTGTGCACCCAATCAGACGTCTTATCGCTCTTCTATGTACGCTGGCTAACTCACGGCTGCTACTGAGTAGCTAGATGTAATGTGCTTTGCTTTCTGTAATTACTATATACAAATGCTCTAACATATGCACATACATATGTATGTATGTGCACACTTTACAGCGATAGCCGCCAAAGCAAAAGCAAACAACGTCGTCGTGGGACTATGCTTCTTAGTTTCGACATTCAGTACTTTTGAACACTTGACGGCGTCGATAGGCTCTAGGAGAGGTGTTTATCGTGCGAAGTTCTGCAGTTTTCCAAAAATTCAGTTTAAAAAATTATTGAAATAAAAAAATATTTTTAAAGTTCCGAAAGAAGATAAAATACAAATACATACATATATTAGTGCGAACGAGAATTTTGTGCGTAGAGCCACTATTGAAGTTTTCACATTTTTTCAGCCTTAAGGCTTTTAGCAAAGAGAATAAAAATAACAAAAATTAAATGAAATAACAAAGTGCTGTTATGAAACCGTAAAAGTGTTTTACTTTCAAAGGATTACCAATTAAATTACCACGACCATTCGAAATACCTGGTGTTAAACTGCATTAAGTGTCAAAAGGCAAAAAAGTTTCAACAAAAAGCGAACAATTTATTATTTGAGGCAACTAATCAGCCAGCCAGCATAAAATAGGTGATTTGCAAACATTTTTTTTTATAAAAATTATAGCTAATTGTGAAAAATAAAACGACACATTGTTGACATTTGTTGACAAATAATTGCAGTCACAGTCAAACATGCATACATACCAAATTAAAAATACCTACGAATTATGCAAATAAAAATTTAATTAACATAAAATGTACATACATACATATCTGTGCCGTTCAATTAAAGTAGCTTAAGTGATTTTAGAAGGTTTGGCTTAATTAATTCTGTTTCCAGACAATTTTTATATTTTTATTAAGCTTCTAAGTATTAAAAGGGCACGTTGAACTAAACCCATGGCTAGTTAAACATTAAAATATTGTTTGGCAACCCAATGAAATGTTGCTTTAAAAGAAAAAGTGCCTATCCCGACTTAGACTACTTTAATTGAACGTTACAAATACATATGTAACGGGTGATTTTTTTGAGGTTAGGATTTTCATGCATTAGTATTTGACAGATCACGTGGGATTTCAGACATGGTGTCAAAGAGAAAGATGCTCAGTATGCTTTGACATTTCATCATGAATAGACTTACTAACGAGCAACGCTTGCAAATCATTGAATTTTATTACCAAAATCAGTGTTCGGTTCGAAATGTGTTTCGCAAACCCAATTGCTGCGAACGGCGACGAATCGACATTTCACGGTCTTCAGCAACACTCTCAGAAACAGACGCAATATTCTCTTCTGTACGCACTGTACGCATTCGTGTGGTTGGTTTAATGTCCAATAAAGTAAACTGAGTGCGAAACTTGGTCACAATCGCATTAATTGTTTGCTCACTTGGTCGATTATGTAGACCATAAATCGGACGTAAAGCGAACCGAACACTGATTTTGGTAATAAAATTCAATGATTTGCAAGCGTTGCTCGTTAGTAAGTCTATTCATGATGAAATGTCAAAGCATACTGAGCATCTTTCTCTTTGACACCATGTCTGAAATCCCACGTGATCTGTCAAATACTAATGCATGAAAATCCTAACCTCAAAAAAATCACCCGTTACTATAAATGTACACAAAACAATAAAAAAAAATAAACATTCAAGCAAATTTCACAATCAAAAACCCTTTACCTTTGCCCACTCTATCTACAATGTTTGTATTTTGTACAAGAATTTGTAAAAAAAAAATAGTAAAATGCCTTTCCTACGCTTCGCGGAAATTAATTTAATTTTATAAGCGTCGCTTTGTGGCCACTAAAATATTTCTAAAAATATTGTTATTTATTTACAAGTTGTGTGTTTTGTGTACATTCTTTGACTTTTGCTTTTTAATTGCTTGATTTTTATTTCTGCTTTTATTTGTTTTTTCTTTGTTTTTCTGTGTTTTTTTTTGTTTGTTATGTGATGCGCTTGGCACTCAACTTTGTGACCAATTGGATTTTCGGATGCATTGCTATTTGGTGTTATGGTTAACATATTGCACACGTTCTTCAAAAGCGTATTAACTCAAAATTCTCCTTTTTTGAGAAAACCAAAATAACACCATGTGTAAGCACTTTTTAATCATATGGCAAAGGTACACTTTCGATTTGTTCAACGAATTGAAACAAAATTTTGTTTTCACTTTTTTTGAACGGTATGTAAATTATAAGTTCGGTGAAAAATTTTAAACGCATACTATCAAAAACTACAAATTTTGAATTAATACACTTTGAAAACGTGTACGTAATTATTTTGCCGCCAAGGAAAGTCGCGATGGTAAACATACATTTTTCAGACCCTGCAGTGCATAGTGTGCATTTGTAAATAAATGCATAAATGTGTGTATGTACCTCGATAGGTAAAATGCATATTCTTCATTGTTGCAGTTTGTGATCACGTCTGACGGCCTGGTTGCCGCGCATTACCCCAGCTGCGACTGGTACATTGATTGGCATATGCTGCGCTGCTTCTTACAGTCTGCATGCATGCAGTCTATTTTTTGTTGTGTCTGCTGTTGAAGAAAACAAAAATATAAATAAAAAAAAAAACAATAAATGTCGGAAGAAATTCACGCGGTAATATGCTTTTCTTTCCTTTGCCAATAATAGAGTCAAGCGTTGTAATATTATTTACAAGCATATATGTACATATGTATGTATGTATATCTATACCTACCTAAGTAAGTATTTGTATATATATATGTATGTACATACATATGTATAGTCGAGATGGCGAAGTGAAACACATTTTTGTACCTAAATACTTGTATTTTCACTAAGAACTTTTCCTTTCAACAAGTATGTACATTAGAGTGGTCCAAAAACAGTATAGACGGAATTTTAATGCCGCCACCCCCCTAGGATTATTCTATACCGACAAAATATATCATATTTTTTTATTTTGAAATTGAAAAATATTTAGGATGTGCTCAAAGCGCTCAAAGTTTTCCATGTATTTTATATGGGGAAAACAACTTTTCGTAGAAATAGTGTAGAATTCTTGAAAATCAATATTTTTCGATCAGAAAACTAAAAACTTAATATCCAATTGTTTAAGTAACCATTTTTTAATACTAAAGATTTATTTATTGGTCCCCAATTGCATTCTCTGGGGGTTTTGGCGGAGCTATAAAATATTGTTACCATGAAAAAATGGTCAAAGAAACAATTGGGTATTATTATTGGGAATCATCAGAAGGGGAAACAATTTTTTCCATCGAAAAATATTGATTTTCCAGAATTCTACAATATTTCTACGAAAAGTTGTTTTTTTCCCCCATATAAAAAACTTTGAGCGCTTTCAGCACTCCTTTAATATTTTTTGATTCCAAAATAAAAAATAGGGGTATATATTTTCGGTACAGAACAATCCATTAAAATTCCGACCTTACTTTTTCACATGCATTTTTGGACCACTCTAATGTACATACATATTTAAATACATATGTATGTATGTATGTATATATAGTACCTATATATGTATATGTATACTATGTCACTAGCTGAAAGTGAAAAGTTGCTTAGTCCAGTTGTTTTTTTTTTAATTTTGTTGGAGAGAAAAAAACCTTTCATACTCATTTTCTTCAAGCCCTTGATTTGCAAAAAAAAATGTAGTACGTGTAGTTTTCTCGTACTCCAAGCTTAAATCACTGTAAATGAGTCCAATTCCACAATGTTGATGAACAATTTTCCTGTTCTTTGGGAGGTATCACATTATAAAAAAAAAAACGGACTTAGCAACTTTTCACTCTAAGCTGAAGTATGTACATATTTGTATGTGAACGCATGGATATAAATATATATATATTTACATTAGGTTCTTGCCTGATTTCAAAAATGTTCCCCGGGTTTGTTGGTGAGTTCCATGTTCGCACCGAGTTTGTTGAGGGTTGGTAAAGGGACTACAGAAATATCGAAAGGAAGAAGAAGGCAGAAGGAAAAATTCAAAAATTTGATTTGGCTTGCATATTTGGACTACCCTAATGTACTTCTGAGTTTTAACTAGAATTTGGTTATTTAAAGGAAGAAAAGCAAACAGCTACATACTTAAAAAAATATGTGTAGCATGTATTGTGTACATATGTTTGTACATAATTTCTTTTAAAATATTTAAATTTTAGACAATTATGTAATTATGTATGTACATACATACATACATACTAACCGATAGCAGCAGATATGTAAATAAGGACCGACAATGAGTCTAAATTACATTCACGTGCGTTTTCACAGAAGTATAAAAGGGACTTTATAAGCTGGCCTAAAATGCTACGCTGTTATCTTAGTGTTTAATAATTAATGGCCTTGGAGTGCGTATTCCCACAAATATTTTGGAAACATTCTTATAAACTTATTATTTGAAGTTTTATTTTTAGTGGATTTTGTAATTAATTTTTTTATGTTTTTACAAAAATATATGTACATACATACATATGTAGATATGTATTTAGTTTTCTATATCCTAATAAAACATGTATCTATGTATTTCTTTTTTAGCGCTACAATGTCCCAACCATCACAACATCTACCTCCGCAACCAATTCCCATTGCGGTGATCAATCGGGCACCACCGCCAAAAACAGCCGCCGAAGAGCGACGTGCGAGCTTTGCGCGACGCGCTGAAAGTTTGGTGGAGCGGGTGAGAGTATTGAATCAAATCTATGAGGTATCAAATGACCAAGCGTGAGATTTATTTGATTATTTCCTTAAAATGTTCCCCATTTTCCAATTGATCCGTTGCTAAGGAGTAGTGACTCTGCAAATTGCAAAACAAAAATTTTTTTATTAAATTTTATATGTATATAATCCTTGCTTTGTTGCTAGAAAATTCGCCGGCTTAGGAGCATTTCATCATATGTACGTACAAATTTGTCAAAAGAACGTTATGGCGTTAAAACATCAAAATCGAGTTTAACTTTTTAAGCAGCTGGCAACCCTTTTCATAAATCAAAACAATTCTCCAAATGTTAGTCAGCGTTATAAGTTCTAACTTCAACAAATAAAACCTTAATGCACATCTAAAGGGATTCTCTTGTGCAATAAGGTTTAGTTCTTTTGAAAAGGGTTGCCACCTATTAAAATATTAAATTCAAATTATTTAATCAGTTCAACCACGTATTACATTACAGGTGTCAATCGAAATAGATTTCAAAGGGGGTTTTTTCTAAACAACATGTAGGAGGGTTGCCACCTGCTGAAAATATCAAATTACACTTGAATTAAGGGAATTATTTATTTGAAATATGGATCACAATCTGAGTGCCAGATAAAAGTTGTTAAGGAAGGTTGTAGTTTGAAAATCCATTAAGAGGGTTGCCACCTGTTTAAAAAGTCAAAATAAATTAAATGATACAAAAGTTTTATGAAATATTAAAAGATGGGCGTCAATCGGAATAGTGTTAACGAATCTTTAGTATGAATATTTGAGGTGTTTTAAGAAGGGCTGCCATCTTTTTAAGATTTTAATTAAACTCAAATTATTTGAAAAGTTAAATAAATTTTTTCAATACGGGTATAAATAGAAAAGGTTTTGTAAAGGCTTCATGTATGTTTAAAAAATTAAATTCAACTTGAATTAAAGGAATTAGGTATCACAACATGGGCGTCAGACAAAAGAGGTTCAAGGTTTTTGTTTGAAAATATTTTGAAGAGGGTTGCCACCTGTTTAAAAAGTGAAGTCAATTAAAATTAATTGAAAAGTTAAATGAATTATTAAAATACCGATATTAATCGAAAGTACTTTGACAATGATTTATTACTTTTCTTCCTGTAAAAGGTTTGCCACCTGTTCAAAAATCATATCCAACTTGAATTAAAGGTATCAGGTATCTAATTGAAGTATGTATCACAATATGAGTATCAGATAAAAGCTGCTTTACTGTGAAAAAAGGGTTTAAATAAATAAAATGTGAAAATCTCTTAAGTATCTAAGTCAAAGAAAAGTGCACTTAAATAATTCATCAAATTTTAATCTAATTATGTACTTATAACGACACACCCAAAACTGACAAAACGTTACCGAGTTTAGAAAATTTAAATTTTTAGGCATACAACGTGCATGATCAAAATTAGCATATGCGAAAACATCTGCTTAGCCTAAGTAGATGAAGAACGTACATACATACATACCCTGCAGGAAATGGGACTAGTTTGTAGCTAACTATTAACTAACTAGATTTAAAATTAGTTTTGTCATAGCTAATTAAAAGTTAGGTATTTATCGAACTCCCGCAAAAAAAGCTAACTAGAAGTTGGATATTTTAATCAAATGATCATTTTTTTTCTGCAGGGTATTTACTTATGGGCCTAACTGCGCAGCAATTCCAAAGCCGTATGTATGGAATCCCCGGATTTGATATTTGAGTTGATTCCATTTATTTGATTTAAGAGTCTTATCAATTATTCAAATCACAGTTGGTTAGGAAAATTGCTACAAAAATGACTTACACAAGGAACAATTATTATGTATGTATATGATTAAGCCAATAGGCATGAGTACTTTAATTTAAATACAAACACATACATACATACATACAATAAGTAGTGGGCTTGTTGATAAATGTTTTTGGCGCTGCACATTGCATTGGACAGTGTAATTAATTGGTTCGGTAAACAAAGTTGGATACTTGTGTACGTACATACCATACATACATACATACACTTATATTGGGACAAGTATGGGTGGCATGCGTACTTGACATTGGCATATTGTGCACTTACACACATACATATGTATATTTGTATGGATTTATGTAGCCGGTTTAATTAATCGTGAATTGAATATATTTCACAGACGTTGATGCAAAGATATTCAGTCTACAAATAAATTAATATACATATATCTCTACATCTATGAAAGTACATATCAGACATCTGCAGCGGGTGCATGATTTTCGTGTATACTCGATCATCTAACAAAACCCGTTTGGCATCGTTCTCTGTATACGAGCAGAAGTATTGTTCGTTATCGACTGAGCTCAAGACGAACATGTTGGCCACAACACCCGATTGCTTTTCATACATACTTGATTGGGTTCGGGTGCTTTGCAGCTCAATATACCCGGGTGTTCGAGTTTCAACCCGAGTGTGCACAAAATTTTCTTGATTGGCTTATGACGTTTTTGTTTCTACAAAAAATGTTGCCTTCTCATCGCGGTGTTCTTAGTTTTTGTGCGTAGAGGGTAAAGAGAAGGTTGAATTTTTCGGTAGTTTGTTTAAGTGTACATTTAACCATTTCTTATATTTTTGCTCATACAAAATGCGGCATCACGACGCCTACATCCATTTAGGTATAAATGTGTGTAGATCGGCAATGCCCAAGCCCTATACACTCGGTGCACATTTATTTTTTGTAAAAGTACTTATGTACCTACATAGTTTTAGGCTGTGTTCTAATATATACACACACAGCTTTCCACGCGAAACTATACGAAATAGATGCAAAAACATTTTTGTCTACTTCGCTTCTAATTTTTTCATTGCGTATGCACAAGCACAAAGCAACAACATTTTCGTATGCTTTGTGGGAACATATTGGCGCCAGTTACCTTCAGCGTAAATTTCTTTGTTGTCCTGCATTTTATCGCAATGTTCGGGTGTCCGTTTCATTGTTACACAAATTTTCGGGTTAGCTGCGGGTGTCCGAGTGTGGTGTTCGCTTGTGCTCAATTTATAGCGAGGGTGATCGAACAGACTCGTTCGTAACCAAAGCAGCTGTCGGGTATGCATCTCGATCGAACACATAGTAGCCGAGTGTGGCGTTCGCTTGTGCTTGATTTTTAGTGAGTGTGATCAAAAAGGCTCGATCATACTCAAAGCTGTTCTCTGGTACATATGTATGTATGTATGTATATATGTTTGTAGGTATGTTTGCATGACATTTTTAATTACAACAATGTAGTTTTGTATTTATGGAAGTTCAATAGCGATAAAAACATCAATCAGCCTATCGAATCGTTATCTTTTCCTCGGTAAACTCTGGGTTATCTTACCTACAGACATTGCACTTCGTGTCGTAAGTCAAGGGCATAGCATTTAAGAAAATTAAACGATGAATTAGAAAATTTCTCAACTTGTGCCTACACTTCAAAGCCTTAACCATAGTTTTCTTACTTATGCATATGTATGTATGTACATTAGGGGGTTACAAAAATAAACAGAAAAATCTACTTTTTGACATTTTCTTGCTGCCATCCCCAGAATTATAGAAAATGGAAAATAAGGAGACTCTTTTGAAATCGGTTTTACCATTTAACCGATGCAATGGGCCTTTCAAGTTTTCCATATATTTCATGCGTTGAAAATAAATTTTTTTCGTGAAATTGCTACAAAATCTTGAAAAATAAATATTGTTTGATCGAATTTTTAATTCCCTTCCAGTAGAATTTTGAAAAAAATTTCACTCTAAAATTTGACTATTTTCTCAAATCGCCTGGTTACCATGAAAAAATAAGTGTGTGCTTTAGCTTACACCATAACCATACTTTTTACATTTATATGGTTAATTTTTTACAACAGTTCAACAAACTCTAATATATATAAATATTTATACATACATGTGAGTTAAACAGCGCAATCGCTTAATAAATGTACTAATGAATTAATACATGTCCTTATATTACAAAATGTGTCCTCACTTCCATTCATATTTGAAAACATTACCTAAGTTTTTTCATAAGTCAAATTTTGATAGCTAATTTTTTAATTGTTGGAAGTCTTGCAGCTAAAATTTTTACAAATAAGAATTTATATCTATCAACAGATCTTTCACATTTGGAAAATGTAAAATAAATAATACTGTGATTTATTCTTGTTTTCTTCTAACTATGGATTATTGAACCAGGATTCTTAAATATATTTGAAAAATTTCAAATATTTTTTTGTGTGATATATCGATATTTCAAAAACGATACTAACGATACGACGATTTTTCCAATTTCGCCATTTCGATATATGAAAAAGTGACATTTTTGAAAATATTTTTTACTACCCTAATGTACATACATACATATGTAAGTCTGCAGTATGTTAGTTTTGCTTCTTGCTGTTTATAGGTGGGTGTGTTACGTCGATTGTTGTGTTGTTGTTGTTGTTTCGAATGTACGCTTGTGGCTGAATAATTGCCCATGTAGTGAAATTTATTTATTAAATGCAAACAATTTTTTTCCGTTCGTTTTCCTTCATTCATTTTTACTCATCTTTGGGTAGGTGCGATTACTTAGAAGAATAATTGCGGTTTGCTCGATTGTCGTCAGCAAGAATGAATAAATATGCAATTGGAATGGTTTATGTAAACACATTACACTCACATTCCATTCAAATGAAACTCTTTCTCTTCCAAGCGATACATTACAATTTTGTCTTTTTTTTTTTGACTGACTCCGAAAAATTGTGGTTTTGTTATGTTTTTGGTTAGAACTTGGGCGGTATATTTATGAAAAATATAACAAAAAATCTCGAATTTAGCTCGAAAACGTTCCGAATATTTAAAAAAATCAACACGTGTTTTTTTTGTATTTCCATCTACATATGTATACTTGAGCTAAGCTCTATATATTAGTGGAACGAACTGAAAACATTAAATTTGTTCAACAATCACTTTGAACACTTGTAAATAACTTACTGAACTATTTTTAAAAT